CGCGGTGTACTTCGTTCAGTTACGTATTGCTGTGCATCGACGATATGATAAACGATGCAGCAAGGTAAGGTGAGAAGGGCACCGATAATCTGGATTTTATATTTTCATTTTACTACGTTTGTCAGTACATATTTTACGTGCCGTGTCAAAACGGCGCGACGACGACGAGCGGTCCGCCACTCTACACGGCGGCTCAGTTCCCCTCGGGCGCGCGCGCGTCTGTTCGGATAAACCATTAAATTATAAGCCACCAGTTTGGACGAGCAGGGGCACCAGTGTGGTCGCCGCGTGTATAGGCATAAAGCATATTATGATTATTACGTATACGCGTCGGATTCTCGGTCGCCGATCGGGTGCCCTCTCTGTGAGTCGTCCTCGGCTGAATTTCTATTAAATTTTTCGTTATGCGACCCGAGTTTGACGGACCATATCGCGATGCATTCAGTATTGTAGGTGGATACTTGTTATTTTGATCTTACAAACGCGCGTTAGCTACGAAATCTACCGTCGACTCCCCCTCAACGATGATCAGTTTTGTATAATGTATATAAAACGACATGACATCATAGAACAATAATAAACGATTTTAATAGCATCAATTTTAATCATAATAATAATATGTTGTTGAACACGATAATGATAATAATAATATCATAGTATTCATAGGACGATGGTATTGACATATATTGCGGCAGCCAGACCACTGCACAAAACACAAAATAAGCCCGACAACGCATGTTATAGCAGGTACAGTATTTCAACACCCCGCCGCCGACTGGTTTATTTTCGTGTGGCGGCGCTCGCGTACATTTTATAATATATATATATTTTGTACGGTTTTTCCCGTCGCCTCCCGCACCGGCTGGCCTCGCGCTATCCCCAACCCCCAACCGAGTAAATTCTCACCACCGCCGCCAATGACGAAACGCCGCCGGCAGGCGGAACGCCGAACGACCTCTCTCTCGCAACGAACCGGCCGCCCCGGCTCCCCACAATACGCGCGCTCCACACGCACACGTCCCGTCCGCGGCGCCCGCCACCGATATATCAATTATTGTTCTCGGGAAATTTTGGGTAGGGCTGTGCTTCCACCCGTCGCACCATCGCTGCCGTCGCCGAACCGTTCTTGCCCGCACCGCGCCGACAGGCGGTTCGCCCGTTCGCCTCCCACCAATTTTAATGCGCGCGCGCAACACGGTCGTCGCCCGCGGGCCGCCAGGCGCATCATTTTTCTTTTCGCACTCTTTACCATTTTTATCTAATCCACTCGCACACACCCGTCGTCTACGTGGCCCGCCGCCGCCGCTGTGCTCGTCCCCGGCCGCGCTGCGCCGCAGCCCGCAATAATATTATCCGTGAAACTCTTGTAACCGCCGCCGCAGCACACGGTCGTCTGTTTTTCGCGTACGCCGCCGACGTCCGCGGTTCAGTGGTTGGCGCAGCACAAAATTTTGCGACGGCATTCGCGCGGGGCTTCGATTTTCGTCGTCGTCGTCGCGTCGACGACCGTATTGTTCGTTGTGTTAGTCATTAATTCCGTTTGACGTACAGTGTGCGTGCGTTGACGAACAGCGACCGTTAGCCGTCGTCGAGTGTGCGCGACGACCATAAGTCACGACCACGACGACGTTTCACTCGGACCACAGCAGCCGCACACCGATGGCGCACGACGAAGAGGACGATCCGTCTGTTGCCGCTGCGGCTTCGGATTTTTCGACCAGATGCAGATTATGCTCCATGCCTTCGTTGCCCGAAAATCAACGGCATCCAATCATCACGGTCGCAGACGGCTGTGGCGGGACACGCCCCGGCGACAACGACTTGCGCGACACCATTGTCAAGCACCTGCGAATACAGGTGAGCGACCGCGTGTAATGTGTACACAACTGAACGCAGTGGTTGCGTATTGTAATATTGATATATCGCGTAGTTACTCGCCGCCCGAGTTTTCTACATACGTACCTACTTACTTATCTATAACATTTATCCATCGTTTTTCTCGGACCTGGCCATTCGGCCTTTGTCGCGCTCAAATGACGCGTGTATGTAATAATAATAATAATAATACTTCCCACCCGCCGCCGCTGCCTCCTTAACCGACCTTTTGAAATAACAATACTGCTCCGCTATCAATGACGATTGCGTCACACCTGATAACGACGACATTTGCGATTAAACAGCTGCACGGCCGACGTGTTAGCGGCTTTTCTCCTGTCCGACGTGCTCGGCTAACTCTTCCTCTCACAGTTTCCCGACGTTTGCCGGGGTTGCGGTTATCGGTTGAGTTTTCTATTGGCCTTTGACTAGGTTTTCGTCTGCACACATCGTAATATGTACCTGATTTAGATCGAATCCGTTTAAGTCAGCGACCTTTAAGTGTATCCTTCCACTTGATATTATCGATTTTGCTCCACCTAACTCTAAAATGTCTGTCGATTGCATGTTAGAAGTTAGTTATCATCACTTTTATATTATTACATTAAAATTTTGCACTACACTTTTTACTTGACTCATAATTATATTGAGTTATAAATCTTTATCGTCAGTCTAGTGCGACGTAATGTTACCATACGTAGAACATAATATTATGTAATTTGATTTTACTAGTTCATTCCACTCTCATAATATGACATTCCTAGTAGTTCAATTTGTTTGATTTAGTTGTCGTTTATTTATTCTCAGTACTCTACTGATAAACCAATTTGTCATTATTTAAATAAATTTGATTTAGGTACAAGTTAGTTAATGCTTGCAGTTTGTCGATTTCATTACTAGGTATAAGTAGTACTAAACCTACTTTGACTTGGATTTATAAGCAATTCAATTAATTTAGTTGTTATCTAGTATCCTGGACTATTATTATATATTGATTTAAACAAGAGTACCTATCATTTATTTTATATTAAATGATGTTGCCCCTTACAATTATTATCAATTATGAATATTCAAATCAATGTATTAAACTAATAGATGTCCAAATTGAATTGTAATTTATGCTGTAACACAACATGAATTATTAACCATAATAATCTTGAAATTTAAAAAGTACCTATATTTTTCATGTATTGTGGTTAAATCACTAATAAATATTTAATCCAACTAGTTTTTAATTATTAAATAGATAATTTAAAGTTACCTAATTCTGATTTGTCAATAATTCACCAAATTAGTTAGGTACCTACCTTAAAAGAGTAATATTTTATTGAGCGTTTGAAAAAAAAAAATATTTACTTGAACAGATTAAGTAGATTGGTACTTATGATCAGTTCTTGATAGATACTTACTTTACTTGTCAGTAGCAAAATGTGTACATTTAATACCCTTTAACTATCTAATAAATAATTTGAAAATAAATTATAAGAATATTAAGTATAGAAAATTAAAAATATTACTTATTGTATAATATAATTATGTAGGTGCTATGTATATTAATTAAAAATGTCTTATTTTATTTAGGTTTCAGAAGATGACGGTTTATCCAAATTTGTATGCACTGGATGCTCAAAGTTGTTAAATGAGTGGGTTCAATTTTTTGAGATGTGCTCAGTAAATAACAACATACCCTTGAAACGACTGTCAGATGGAGCTGATAAAGTATATTAAATTCAAATTATACAATTATTATTACTTAATACACTTAATGTAAATATATCTACCTATTAGATATTATTAAAGTACCTATATTATTATTATAAGCATAATTATTAATTGATACAGCAATATTAGAACCAAATTATATGGTATTATTATGTGGGTACCTATTATAAATTTATTAAAGAACAACTTGTTGTATTGTTGATATACTTTTATTTCTCTTTGATAATAATTAATAGGTAGGTAATGCATCATAATTATTTAAAAATATTTTATTTTATTTTAATATCAATATTTCTTTACAATGATAACAATATTTATTTGAAAAGTGATTTTATATTATACATTTTCCTAACCTAGCTTATCGGATAAATATTTACTCACATATTCCTAGAAATATGATAATTATTGTTGGGCTATGTAGACAATTTTATAATTTTAATATTTATTGTAATTTAGTTAAATGTGTTTTTTAATTTGAGATTCTTGTATCTATTAAACCATTCTTCTGTAACATTGACTGTTTTCATATTGTTTTTGTATTTAAAAAGACTGGATATTTGATGACCTATATATATATATATTATGGCTGCTATATACTAAGTTCTGATTATCACCACGTGGCCTCGTGACATATTTATTTTATTATTGCACAACCATACTGCTTGGATGTAGACCAGTTTTAGTTATCAAATTAATTCATTTTATTATTCATAATAAATCATTTACGATAATCTCAAAATGAATATAATTTACAGTATTATTTTATGTTTTTTAATTACCGCTGTTATTAGTCAATACAGGGAAATTGGAATTTTGTGAACACTTGTTTACTATCATATCATAATCTTTATCATTAATTTTCATTTGGTTATCAAAAGCTAATACTTTCATAATTACATGTAAATATTGGATGTGCATATTAATTAAAACTGAATTTAATGGTTCTGTATTTTTATCCAACTAGATTTAAATGGTAAATAAAAGTGTGATAACCCTATGTATAAACATCATATGCATAAGATAATATTATAATTGACATATTTCTGGATTATTCTTGTATTACAAAAAAAAATAATTAATCGTAGTCTGACACAATAACAATCATTCTTTTTTCTAATTATGTTTATGTAATGATATATCTAGTCAAATGCCAGTTTGTGTTCATATTTAATCTTTAGATTAAAGATTAAATTTAACATATTTTTTAATTTGGATAAATCATGTCAGTTATGATAATTAAAAATTATATTTTATTTGTAATAATTAATTGGGTAACCTTCAAGTTATTATTTAATTTGGTTTATAAGCTAATACCAATTACAATATTCAATTCAAAATAAATATGTTTCTATTTTTCATAGAAAGGTACAATAGAAATAATTTATAATTATTTTCTTCCATATTTGAAAAAAAAAGTATATTTTATAATTTTGAAATGATTGTAATAAATTCATAGATGATGTGACCCCTTTTTAGAAGTAATTGTCTAAATGGACAAATAATCATATTTTTCATATTTATTTAACAGAATGTCAACTTATGGATTGTTTTTTATCTTAGGCTTTTATACAATATAATAAAAACACATTCACATAACATAATTTTATATGTTTTTAAATAATCTTAGTCCTTAGAGTAAAATCACTTATTTGCAAAATTTATCGAAAATAATATTTTTTAAGTGATTTGTCTGAATATTGCTTCAAACAATTTAATATTTATTAAAATTAATAAAAAACTTCTTTTTTTAAGTCAAATAATAATGAAATTTAAAATTGATATGCCAAATCCTCAACAATATTAATCTCAATAATTTTTGCAATTATATAATTTTACTCTGAATTTATCCAAAAATCATAAAAAACAATTTTATATGAATGTATTTTATCTATGTTACTAGTGAGTTTTTAAGATAGAAATCAAATAATGTACTGTCATATTAGTAATATTGTTTTATCTTACTTCCTGAAAAACAGCTAAGCTAACTTAATTTCGTGAACTACAGGTTGTTTTAATATTTATTAAAATACTAAAATTTTTTTGAAGCAAAACTTCATTAATCATAATTTTTTATCATTTTTATTAACAACAATTTTAAATTTGTATTTAGATATAAATGGTTTAATTTTTTTTTTTTTTTAAATCATTAGGTATTTTAAAAATTAGGTACAATAGTTTAAAGTTACCCATAAATATGAAATTTTTTTATGTAATATTTATATTTATTTTAAATTATTACTTTTATAGAATGATGATGGTGATGAATTAGCGAACAATTTAGTAATAGACATAACTGATGAAGATGATGAACAAAATTATACAAGTATGTAGACAGAAATTTAAATGTTTAAAAATATTGTTATGTATTAGTAAAGGTATTGATTCTGAAGTCTAGATTTTTATGAAAAATAAAGTCAAAATATAATATTATGTATGCTATGATAAAAACCTATATTAATATTATAAATTGTATGATAAAAAATATTACTACTATAAAATAGTTATAGTTGTATAAAGTTTTGAATTTGTGTTCTATTAAATTTTCATTCCAAAAGAAAAAAATGATAAGTTTGAGTAGTTTGACTAGCTAATTAAGCTTAAGATATTATGTGTTTTGGTAAAATTGTGTGATACAATTATTATGTTTAAATAAAATAAATTCTCTGTAAGTATTTGCTGTAATGAAATAATATTATAATACTCATCAATAGAGTATTTAATTTTCATTGTTTAGAAACTAAGAGGCATCCAAATTGCTAATATCTTATCATGTTACAGATACTTTTCTTAGTTTTATAATTCTGAATGTACTTTAAACCTCTAAGGACACATGATTTGATTTGATCAAATGTAATTTCTATTTTTATCTGTGTTTTTACTGTACAATTGTGCTTTATATAAACTGTTTCCAAATCTTCTATACAATTAATCATAGCAATATTACTTAGATAAATAAAGAATCCAGAAATATACCCTACTTTAAATTGTTCTGTTTGTATCAAAAGCTTTAAAAAACTATGATGACTATTAAATTATGAATAATAATTTAAGTAAGGTTTAGGTACACTTGCTAAGTTGCATAGTTAAACTATATATTACCTTATTAATAAATTTATAGCAATTATAAACTTTTAAAAAACGTATTATTATATGTGTTAATATATTTTCATGGATTAAAACATAATATATTTTAATAATATATTATATTAAATGTTAAAGCGATTTTCAAATTTTAAAGTATTTTTATTATTTCTCGTTAAAATTGTATTCATTACTATTAGCTTATAAATTAATGTTTGATTAGTATGTATATTTTATTAAACAATATTATGATATTATTAATTATTATAACTATGTAAATTTAATAGGTAAAGACAAAAGTAAATCAGAAGCACCTAAAAAATCATTCCTTGGTGAACCATCACCTGAAGATTATGTATTGATGAAAGAAGAAACTTTCAATTTAGAACCAGTGTGAGTATTTTTATAGATTCAATATAAATTATTAAATTTGATCTGTTATAGATTTATATTATTATAATTGTTTGGAATTGCAGAAAGAATGGACCAACAGGTGTTTTGGGTGACTATTTAATAGAATATAATAATTCCAAAAAGTTACCAACAGAATTGAGTAATGCTGATAAAGACATTGTTGATAATTTACGCATCCGAAGAGAAGTATTACCATCCATGTGGGATGTATTTGAAAAAACAATTGAGAAGTTAAAATCAGGTAAAATAAAATTATAAATAATTATATACATTATATACTTATTACCTAATAAACTGTCTATCATAACATTTTAATATTTTTAATTTTTTTAAATTATAGATTTTCTTAAATCTTATTCTTTATTGATTTCAATTTGTAATTTTATATCAAGTTTTACATAAACAACATGTTATCAAATTTTTATCTTTATGGATAGTTTGGACTTTAAATGTTTACTATAAATACTCCATTACTCTATTGTTTCTTTATTACAAATTAAAACAAGTAGTTAAATCTTTAAACTGAATATAATAAATATTAGCAATGAAATTGTCAACTCAATTAAAATAAATACTATTTATCTGAGATAAAAATATTTACAAATTTATATTTTTTACAATGGTTTAGTTTATACTATATTTTAAAATTTTTCGATTCTTAAATATATTTTTATTTTACATTTGTTTTAGGAGAGTCATATTCAACAGTAGTAACACATAGGCGTTATATTATCAACAAAGGTGCATTTCCATGCTCGTTGTGTGGTGAATGTTATGAGTTCGATCAGGGTGTTTGTCGTGACGAAGAAGAACCCCAGCCACCAGTTGAAGTTGATATTCAACAACGTTTATTCATTTGTCCTACCTGTGGTAAATCTTTCCCTCGCCGTAGTTCATGGAAACGTCATCAAATGACTCACGAAGACGTAAAACCATATGTATGCCGTATTTGCACTAGTGGTTTCAATCGCAAAGAACATTTGATGCGTCACATGTTATCGCATAGCACTGTTAGACCATTTCCATGTGAACGATGTGGCAAACGTTTTATACGTAAAGAGCATTTAGCCAGACATCTTTTATGCATACCAAGTTGTTCTAATTCATCCGACATGCCGAGACCTTTCTGTTGTGATATTTGCAAACAGAGATTTGTGCGTAAAGAACATTTGTTCAGACATAGGAAAAGAGCTCATGAACATGCATTAATATTGGATAATCAATTAGAAGAGAAACCATTTGTGTGTTGGCAGTGTGGAAAATGTTTTACCCGCTATGAACATCTGCGCAAACATTTGGATATTCATAATGGTATTATTCCTTCATCTTCATCAGAAATACTTCCTGAAGTAACTCTCTCTGAAATAAGACCTGAAAAAACTTCAGCAGATATTAAAACAGAACATTTATCAGATTCTGAAGGTGAACCTGAAGTTCTCCCTCCAGTGAGTGTGCTTGAACTTAATGAACAACAACCAGAACAAGCAAGGCCAAAACCAAGTACACTTTGTACTATTTGCAAAAAGACCTTCTCTCGCCGTAGTCATTTGTTGCGTCATCTAAAGCGCATACATAAAGTAGAGCCAGTGTTGACTAGAAGACGAGTAAATAAATCTGGTGACGAAAATGGAAATTCTATAGAAGATACCAAATGGGAATGTCATACATGTGGAAAGACGTTTTCCAGACAAGCTCATCTTGAAAGGCATGAAAAAAACTTACACAGCGAAGAGCGTATGGTTGCTGCCCCATATGAATGTGTGTCTTGCGGTCAGGCCTTTTTTGATAGCAATTTACTTAACCAACATATGGCAACCCATGGAAATACTGTGACTGATAATTTTGTTTGGATGTGATGTGGTTTAATATTGGTTTTTTTTTTTTTTATCATTTGATTTTAGATGTGTAAATAGCTTACACAAATTTTAACTATCAACTAGGCATAATTTTAAATTATGTTATACCATAGAATGTTAACAAATCAATATTGTATAGCAGTCTATTGGTATTTTAGAGAAAATAAATAATAAAAGAATCAGTTTAATTTTCAATATTGTTCCCTTCATAGTTTAAAATTAAAGACATGTTATATTGTAGTATTTTGTTTTATATATTGGCTGACTATCTTGATTTGCTAATATTTTTATTTTATTATTACTATTATTTTATGTATAAAGAATGGCCCACTATGATTTCCTGTTTTTCTGTCAGTTAAATAAAAAATAAGAAAACTCAGTGGACCAGGCTATCATACATATTTTATAAAATGTTAATATCTTTTGTTTATTTTCATATTTTGTTATCTACGGTGTAGCCTATTCGGACCAAAAGTCAAACAAAGGCTGTAAAGTAATAATTTAAGTAAAAAAAAAAAATTAATAAAATTTAGTTATTATGTGTTAACAATCATTGACGTTATTTACCAAATTGAGAAATTTTTTGTTTACCAATACAGACTTCTAAAAATATTTATAATTATTACTGCATCGATTTATCTTATTGTTATTATATACAGGGTGTACTTTTAGTGCATAAAAAAAAAAAAAAATTGGTATTTTATTATATTTCATCTTAAACTTGTTTTATTTTTTTAAATTTTACAACTTTGTTCAGATTTCAAAGTTTTATTTAATTAATAATAATTAATTTTCATTATTACTTTTGGATTTATTTAATGATTTTATTCATACTGAAAATTGTAAATAGAAAGTTTTATGGACGGGTACTAATAGTTTTGATTTTGACATATTTTATTTAATCATTAATAACATGATATTTTAAGTTTGAAAGAAACGTGATATTTAGCTTATTATTTCAGTCTTCGAATGCGATAAATGAAATAATATTTTTAACAATATTTAAGTAGGATCAATTGTCCATTATGATATCATTATATTCTGTATTTATTGTTTACCTTGATAATTATAATATAGTTATGTTTTGTTTTTTTTTTTTTTCATTATAATTTTTATTATTATATTATTAATATTATTATTATTACTTACCAAGGTGGTTTTTATTTATCATATTTTATATAAATACATTTAATTAAGTATAGTATATACAAATAGTTGTCGTATCACCATTTGGATACCATCTAAAAATTTAAACACATTTAAAGTTTTTTAAATTATGAAATACAATTTGTTTTATATTAAAACACATATTCTACTATCAATCAATAATGTGGCAAATTTAATTTCAAAATTTAAAGAATTTGATCGCTGTTTTTTTTTTAATATTTAAATTTTTGAACACATATATCAATTATTTAATTTGATTATGACAACTATTTTTTCGAATATTTGTGTACTACTATATTTACATTATTATTTATCATCATATTCTACATATATATATTTGTATTAGGTATTCAAGACAAAAATGTTCTCTGGAGATGGTGGGTTTTGGGTTTATTTTTGTTTTTTATCTACACGTTTGCTCAATTTCTATTTTACACCAATAACATATTTACACACGTGTTATTGTAAAGATTGATAGTATTTTATTTTGTTTGTTTTGATTGTTTCAGAACAACTTAAATATAATACTTGAAATATTATTATTTTGTGTTTTCAGATTATTTTATATTTATTTTATTTTATAGTGATAAAACTAATGTTAACATTTATTAAAGCACTTTTTATAAATACTTATTAAGCTGCTATCAAGAATAAGTGTCCCTCCCACCACACTCCATTGTTTTACTCTTATTGTTTGTTTGTTTATTTAATTTTTATTATTATTATTATTATTATTTTGTTTTTCTACTAATTTAATTGCAGCCAATGCACTTACATTTTTATAAATGACTGATATATAACACATTTCGTATGATACATTTTTAATTGTTTTGCTATTTCATAAAGATATATAGTATATCAATTAAATGTTTGAACAACTCAAGATGAGAATGTTTGTTTATTGTAAAACTAACCGTTATAAATTTACTTGATTACATTAAATTAAAGCGTTATGCTAATGTAGGTCTTAATATATTTATTATATTCATCTGTGTAATATATTAATTATCAGTTATTTATCATTGCAATAATTTATTAATATGTTTACCCATTGTTATTTTTTATTTTTATTATTATTATTATTTAACTTCTCAGTAGTTCATGCAGTCTTCAGAAAATTTATGATGTATTTGATTTAATTGTTTTAACAGTGTTGTTAAGCCTTACATATATCTTTAGACCGCAAAGTGATATTAAACGAATAAATTCATTTTTTATAAATTGGTTTTCTTTGTATAGTTTATTTGTGTTTTTTATTGTATTACTAATTAAATTACCTAGCTCACCACTGAAAACTAATAACAGCAACAGCCGATAACTCTATTAAAAAAGCATTTACACATGATTTTGGCTTATAGACATACTTCATATAGATTGTATAAGTAAGCATATGAATATTTAAAAAAATAGTTTGTACAGAACTACCTATCTGAAACTTCTCTTTAAATAGATTTTAGTATCTACCTAAATGAGAAAAATCCAAGAAATTATAATCAAATTCAGTTCGATAATGTTTGAGTATTTAAATCCCAGCCCGAATTATTCCTTCTATCATTACCAGATGTTCAATTTAACACGGGATACGGCCAAATGTCTGTCGGCCGATTGTACCACACCCATTTAACACTATAACAATAATAATTATTACCGTTAATGGAAATATAGGTATTTATCTTATTTTTTTTTATAATTTTGAGCTACTATAAACAACATTTTTTACTTTATGTTAATGATGTAATAATGTTATGCATTTTCGTACATTATTTTGAATAATATCGGCCTAACTTACAAAAATTTAGTAACTTAAGTTTATAAAATAAATGAGTGCTATAGGTTTCAAAAATAATATTAAAAAAAAGATGTTATATAGACTAACAGACCGGCCATACGTTACTGAGCAGTTTTTTTTTTTAATACAATAACTTTATTATCCATAAGTAGGTACTTACAAAAAAAGACAATTTTCATGATTGTAATTATATTATTAAACAGCTTATAAATTCGACCAATTTTGATAAAAATTTCAAACTGTTTTGAAAGAGATGAGAAAGGCTTAGATAGTGTTTGAACCACGTTCAAAGATATATGCTAAGTACGTTCTAACTAATAGAAATACAACATTTAAATCAAGAGTTAGAAAAGTAGTGTTTCAATATTTTAATATTATGTATGTTAATATTACGCTAAGTGTGAAGAATGAAGAGCGGGATCGACGGCTGACTAGATTTTCTGACATGCGTCGTATAGACCATGGTATACAAAAGTATTCGATGTACTCGTATGCTAGGCAAGAGTGAACAAAAGAAATCGAAAGCGACAGAGAAGAAGACTCCGCGACAGTTCACTGGATATCGGTGATGTTCCTAACAACGATGTACCAAATAAATAATTTATGTGAAGGAATGGGTTTTGAACGTCAAATTATCATATACACTATCAGTTGTGGTGTCCGAAAACTATGATCTCAAATAAAACGGAATTTATGCAAATTTTTTTTCCTTCGTGGGCCACTGTCAATTTTTGGCGTTTTTTTATTTTTAATCACAAAATACGATTTTTTAGTGAGTAGGATGATTATAAATTTGTTTGAAACGCTCTAGAATGTTAATTGGTGTGTCGTTTTACGTGTTTATGTAATGATTTATTTGATTTTCGAAATTTTTACAACAAATGGCCCCGAAAATCCGTTTTTCTAATAAAATTACGTTTCATGCGATATTTATGTGAAGGAATGTGTTTTGAACGTCAAATTATCATATACACTATCAGTTGAGGTGCCCGAAAACTATGATCACAAATAAAACGGAACTTATGCAAATTTATTTTTTCTTTAATTGGCCACTGCCACCTGTTGATGTTTTTTGTTAAAAAATTAGATTTACCAATTATTAAGAGTATTGGGTATTTGTTAATTTAATTGTATCAATCTAGAGTGTTAAATTGAGTTTCGTTCTACCTTTTATGCAATTATTAATTTGATTTTTATGTTTATGATATATTTAATATATATGTATATTTAAATATATTTCTATATTTAATATTTTTTTTTTTTTTTTGTCCCACTACCACCTGTTCATTTTATATTGGTTTTTAATGTATTATTTCTACTTTTTTTTAGTGTACTGTATTTGTAAATGTACCTATGGGTCTTGTTAGTACGTGTTTCATTTATTACTTATTAGTTATTACAGATATTAGACAATTTATAATATTTTAAATAACGTTTAATTAAAAGTGCAATGTTATTATTGAAATGATTTTAATTCATTTTTAATAATTTCCTTAGTAACGGAACTAAAAAAAATATTTGTTAAATACAATTGTTATATTTTATTTTTCAAACAGGTATTTTTTGCCTTTTTTCACCTTTTAAAATTTGCTACATGTAGCGGTTGCACCTTTTGCTTCTTTGTTAACGTGGTTCTGAAATTTATAATCTAGTACTTTAATAAACTTTTTTCAATAAATTTTAAGATTAAATCTTAAAATCAACAATTTTCACTAAGAGAATTAATTAGAGTATAATGTTTAGGAATGATTTGCAATTCCTTTTAACTCTTGTCCCATATTTTGATATTTCTTAAAATTTTAGAGTCACACTAGCTGGAACCCACCTACTCTTATTTTCTAGATACCAACTCTTAAACGGTTATATTGCATATTCTGAAAGTGAATTTACAGTGTTTCACAGTCAACTTGCAAAATATTGTTGATGATTTTGAGCCAGAATGTCAATGGAAGTAGTTCGATGTTACTTACAATTTTATTTTAACTTCTACTTAAAATATTCATACTTATGAGAAAAATAATTGAATGAAAATTTTAAAAACAAATTTTCTAATATGGTAAAAATATCTATTATATTTTGTTAAAAAATATAAAATTTGTAGTTCACACACAGTTCCGTGTAATTTGAGAGTGATTAATTATTATAGGTAAAGTTAAAATAATGTGTAAATTATCTCATGGTAAATATATAAACGTATTTATACATATTTTTTCAATAAGCTGTATAAGGTTTCAACGTCAATGGTTATTATGCTACTTTTAGCTTAAATA